ATTTGCCACTGACCCAGTTTGCCGGAATTTTAATACTAATTCTGGGATGTAACCATGATGTACGTGTCTATTTGCATGCCTCTCATTAAACAAAGTTCCGTTGAACTTGCACATTTATTATTTATAAAATTCAATTCAATAATTTCCACTCTCTTCGCAATAGAATAAACCATTTTTTAACGAATAACGAACTATCCACATCAACTACTTTACTAAAGATAAAGTCGATTTGTCGACTGATATTTGTTAGTTTTGAACGAATTTTTTGCTGTACGAAATTTGTAAATAAGCAGTCCAGTAAAATTTTCGGAAATCCATTGCGCGGCGTTGCGTAACTCAAATTTAAAAAACGAAGCGCCATTTTAAAGAAAATAAGGGTAAATGCCACCCCCGTTAAGGGGTTGAAGTTGCAGTGATACAATTAATATGTTCCCCTGAAAATAAAAATATAGGCGTCAGAATATTTTGAATACCACAAAATTCAGCTATCTTTTTTAGATAGACCATACCTCAACAAATAATCTTGTTTGCTTTTGTATGAATTCTTTACCCTATGACCTAATAAATTCTGGTCGATGTAGTAAGATCATCTTCATATCTCAAGCATGCAGTAGATATACATACATATTCCTGTAGCTAGCATATAAAAATAAACTTTGTCGAAATAAGAAATAACTGTGCAAAAATCCGTTCGCAAATCACAAAACCACTCGATTTACATATCGCATATAACCCGGAGTATGCATTTCCTTAGAAAACCGCTGCTGTAAAGACGAAAGATGCGGCAAGCAGGAGCAGCATCAATTCCTGAAGTTCATTATAATAATGTTTTTGAGCAGGTAGCGGGAAGCGGAATGTTGATAAAATAGAGAGCACTGTGCAACACAATTCCTTTTTAGTTAAAGGTTGTAAGAAAATTAAGGCAGATTAGCCTTGGAAAACGTATGTCCTAGTTTATTTTATACTTAAAATTTATTTTGCAAACGTCAAATCTTAAAGTTAAAATATAATGTTTAAACGGTATAATTTATGTTAAAAATACTATTGGATATTCTTTTGAGGTTAATTTAAATAAATAATACATAATTAAGTAATCAACTAGGTAACATTTTAATACTAATATAAAAAATGTAGATATTAACAAGGAAATAGCTATTTGTGTATTAAGAGCTCTGAGCGAGAAGTTTGCTATCTCGCGAGAGCGGCAATGTTACTTTGCGCTCAAATTACAACCGGTGTTTCTATAAGAATGTTTGGTAAAAATTAATAATTATTAAGAACCTTAAATTTGACGTGTGTCAAAAGTCGCAAAAAGTCCATGGTAACTAAGCGAGCAACAAAGTAACTTTGTCGCTCGCTCCTAGGAAAAGTTCAACTTTGCGCTTTATAGCGTTGCAACGCGTTGTAGAAAAAAAAATGTAAAAAAAACAAGATTTTTTTAATATTTGAATATTATTATAGGAGATATAATGCAGGATATTTACAAAAAATTTCCAGGTAATAGTGTAATCAAATGAGAAAAAAAAGCGGCAGGCAATACCGAGAGCTCTCGCCTAGGTTAAACGTAGGAGCTTTAAAAATTGCTAGGAGACGATAGAACATTGTTGTCTTAAAACTTAATATTTTTTCCGACTGTGTTTACTAATCTTTTAAAAAGAAATGTAATACTTCAGGACGCCAATGTTTTAAAATAAAAATTAAACAACGAGTTCTGTACCCCAGAGCTAAACTCTAGTAACCAATACAGAATTCCACAATAGCGGGTGCAGGTGAAATGAACCTCCTTCATAACCCGCCGAACTATGAAATTCCCTTATGCTCTTCCTACTATTTGCTTCAAAGGCATTAAAAATAGCTTCTTTATTTTCCGCTGTTCTAATACGCTAAGGAGCACATTTAATTTCTTTACAACGCAGAACAACTTTGCAGTCCCGGAAAGCGCTGGGAAAAAATTTGTGCTGCCTCCGGCATAATCAGAGAAGAAAGACATAACTTAAAATGATAAATAATGACAGAAACCAAAGTGTACAGCAGTGTCACAACAAAGTGGATTTCAATCGACCAAATATTTTACATATTATAATATCAACAATGCACCCTAAGTATTCTAGCAATCGTTTTTTATTATTATCTCGCTTATCCTTTGCGTTAGATAATTTTAAGGAGGATATTTCCCCGAGTAACCTAATAATTATATGTAATAATAATTAATAATATTAATAATTTTGCGAAACAGTTTAAAATGCCTATAACATCTGTTTATAGCAACCTTTCCTTTTATTTTTACGTGTAAAACTAGCCCCCGAAATATATTAACGTTTCTACCGGACACTCTGTAGAGCCCATGTATTTTTAACAATTTTAATATTTTTTTACTTGTATACCAGTCTGACAATCTAACTAAAACTTTGCAAAATGTCTTATCAGTGTACTCTACTATAACCTTGCATTTTTTCAACTTTTTATTATCGTGAATAATTATCGTGCCCAAACCTTCTTAATTGGACGATTTTTTGCCAAAAATGGTAACATTCGTTCACATAGGGCTTCTTGGTACAATCTTCAAGCTTTGCGACTATTGCCATTGGCATTACCTTACATAAAATGTATGTTGGCCATTTCTTGGAAAGTTTAATTTACCATATTTGATAAAAATCACAGTGTTAATTTATGTTATGAAAAAAGATTTGACAAATGTCACCACTGATAAAATAACGATACCTATAGGTATACCTGTTTGCAAAGAAGGTTTAGTTGATGTTTTTCTATTGCCTACGAACTCGCTTGATTTTTTTTTTGTGGGGAGACATTTCTAATAGCGCTGTTCTCCAAAACAGTTGGCTCCATGATTTTGTAACAAAAGTACCTTTTTATTATTTATTATCTGGAGAATTGTATTCCAATATCGAGAATTAAAAAAAATTATGAGAATTTTTTTTCCACCTATGGTCATCATTTATCCGATTCGACACCAACAAATGATTTTTTGCCCAAAAAACCCCAGAAATAGAGCATCATTATTTTTGCACCAACCGTTTCTGCAAACAAACAAACTTAAAATAAACAAGGATTAAACTGAAATACCCGTGCTTCTTTTGTTTTAAATTAAAAAATGTCGTATTACTATATTTTGTCAAAAGTCATTCAACTGGAAGCGGACGCCAAGTATACATTCCTCGTAGTCCCCAGGAACAATCTCAATTTAAACTACGAAGAGCGTATTGCGACCCGGCATGCAGGCAATGCTAAATCCCTTCAAATATAAATCAAATATCTATGGAGAAGATATGCAACAAAATCGCCGAACGCTTATTATAGACATTATTTGAATTCCCTTGCACAACGAACAATATCCTGGCTACCTCGCTTTTATGCGTTAATCATGCTGGACAGGCGTTAATCAATTTTGGAAGCGCAAAAACTTGTTGATGGTTAATTTACTGGAACTTTTTTAATGTTTAGAGATTATAAAGGGATGCTACATATCACAACTCAATTATTACTAAAATTTAACATTGTATTTATTACTTTTAAAGCCCCACAGACTTCGTTATTTTTCATCCGTTGGTAATGACACGATTCGGAACGACGCGTCGCACAGTGGGCTAGAGAGCCAATTATTTGTTTAAATAATTCTTATAAATATTAAATTTTACATATCATAAAAAAGCAAATTATAATACTTTAACAACAAAAGTATCTTTGTATCATAGGAACATTAATATATATAATATATATAGTTTTAATGAGTATACTATATATATTACAAAAATTTAACTAAACATTTATAAAATAAAACTAAATGATTATGGTTCATTTTAACAAAAAATACTATATATATATGGGTACTATACTCCACATCTCAAAGTCAAAGTCCCACCACGTGACCACGTACGGAACGCAGTCTTTTAAAAATTTGGCATTTAAGGCTTTTCAGGTTATGTATCTGTCAAAGTATAGTCAACGAAAGAAATATTATGTTTAGGCGTTAAAAATGTATAAATCTTTGTAACATTACAATAACAATGGATGGTTTAAGAATTTAAGAATACAAATACTGCATTTAATGAAATGAAGTGTATGGTGCCAAATAAGTAATATTTTTGTGCATTTGGTCCAAATATCTGGTTTTCTCCATAAAATAATTTTAACTAAACAGCATTTATTAAAAAAAATCTAGCTTCTCTATTATGGAATAAGAATATCTGTATTAAAGGTAGGTTAATATATTATAACAAAAATATCATCTAATTTTGTAATTTTAAGGTTAGAAAAATTTATTTTGACCAAAATAAATAAGTATTTTGGATTATTTAAAAGTGAGTATAATATGGCATTTAAAAATGTGGTAGTTTTATCATAAATAAAGTTTTGTCAATACAAATAGTTAAAAAGCTTCGACTGAATTTGATCTGCATCGAAAAATCATTATAACTTTAATATTTTAATAAATCACATATCATGGGAGTATTCAATATTTTCATATTGCAAGTTTCTCTAAAAATTGTTTGTTTTCTTATAATCTAACTTAAAGTAGGTATGCCGAGAGGTATGCACAAGTTTTATCATTAGAAGTATAAAAGCTTCAATTTCATATTCAACAATTATTTGGTATTCCTATATTTATTTATGACCATATTAACACACTCTTCCAAATAATCCACTTATTTATTTTTTTAAATTAAATAGAAATATTTGAGAGGGTAAGAGCGAAAAAAAAAAATAAATTTTATTTTTTGAACCACCCTAATCTCCATACAATCCACGCGAACATTTGTTTTAGTCTAACGTGCCATAACGTAGTTAATAACCTCTCCTTCCCATCATCACACATTGTCTCAAATCGTCCAATCCCCAAATATCAGTATTTTTTGCAATTACCAAAGAGATATTTCTGGGTTTATCACTACTTTCATAAAGAAATTAAGTTTTTTATTTTCTAAACAATTTGAGATTATTCAAAATGTAAAACTACATCTTGATTAAATAGTAGAACTTACCTATTTGCTTAGGATAGCTCAAATTCAAATTCTTCATAAGATCGACGAACTCGTCTTGGCTCTTGGTCAAGCGCGGGTTGAGTCTCATCTCCTCGTCCACCGTGGTGACAGTGCAACCCTTGTAGTCGTGCGCCGGGTACAAAAGCGTCTCGGCCGGCAACCGGAAAATCTTGCAGTGAACGCTCTGGTAAAGCGTTTCCGGATCGCCTTCCTGGAAGTCGGTCCTTCCGCAACCGCGGATCAGTAGGGCGTCACCTGTAAAAGCGATTCCCTGAAAGAAATGAAACAATTAGTCTAGTTGTCCCAAAAATAGCAAAATGCTTAGTTTTTCTATAATAATAGTAATATTAATAATCTATAATCTCTAGTTGTTTTAAAACTCAAGCCTCACAGAATATAAAATATAGAATATCTGTATATTTATAACACAAAATTTGTCCGCCTGAACGCAATGTTTGTTAATAGTCAATAAATAATAATTTTAAATTATAGAACGCTTGCATATAATAGTTATTTATGTATATACAGTATGTCAATGGCCTATAATATACACTGATCGTTTTTTGAAGTGGTTCGCCAAAAAAATTATTCCACTTTGAATGGATGGACGTATCTTGTTAATTTTTTTTTTGTTAGAATTTCTTTAGCAGTAAGTGTGCACGACTGCATTCATTTGTCCTGATTTAAAATAATTTTACAGGGTGATTTGTAAAGCTATGATTTTAACATTAAATTTATTAATGTGCAGGAGGTAAATGGGTCGCCTTACGTCTTAGCGCTGCGTGCTTTTTTGGAGTTTGGTCATAACTCAACAGCCTTGGAAGATTTTAATTTTTCTTTCACTTCATGTCTATGTGCGTAAAAAATCGAGATATCTTTGGAAGTAATAATGTTTTGACATGTGTCAATTTAATTGTTTGTAACAATGCCGCGTCTACAAGGTGCAATTCTTGAAAGAATCATAAGAATGGACGCTTTAATATTGCATACAGTATGGTTAATCGCGCTTGGAAACGATACGAAAACAATAACTCTCCGCAATATAGACACGGAGGAGGGCGTCAAAGAGTAACAACTCCAGCAGAAGATCGTCTTCTTAGGAGAACCGCTTTGCATAACAGAAAAACTAATGCTACCCAACTGAAACGAGCATTGCCACCTGGCTACCGGAAACATAATTTCAACATCCACAATAAGAAAAAGATTGCATGAAGGTGGACTTCACTCCAGACGGCCAGCTAGGCATCCAAAATGGAATCATGGGCATAAAAGGCGACGTCTGGAATTTGCTTTGAATCATCAAAACTGGGCTGCAAATGACTGGGCCCAATGTCTTTTCATAGATGAATCGCGGTTTTCTGAGGATCCCGATACCAACCGCCTGCGTGTGTGGCGAAGAGTGAATGAACGTTACGAAGAAGATTGTACGGTTGGCGTTACACCTTTCGGTGGTCGTTCAATTACAGTTTGGGGGGGGGATATCAATAGACCGTCGTACTGAACTTGTACTTTTCGTCCATGAGACAGTTAATGCTTTACGATACTTGGAAAGAATTCTGGAACCAATAGTTCTCCCTCTGTCCCATCAAATAGGTGAACAGTTTGTATATATGGATGATAACGCAAGAACGCATCGAGCCAACGTGGTAAATGAATTTTTCCAACGAGAAAATATCACCAGAATGGAATGGCCGGCGCTTTCGCCGGACCTTAACCCCATTGAAAACGTGTGAAAGGCGCTTCAAAGAAGGATGTTAGATCGCCAAATTGAACCACATGGAATTGAAGAGCTGGGAATTGCTCTTCAACAGGAATGGGAAGCCATTCCGGGTGACCTCATCAATAATGTCATCAGGAGTATGCCTCAAAGGAGGTGATAAGGAGTAGAGGGGGCCCTACCCATTATTGATTATTTTTTATTAACAATTCGTTATTCATTATTATTGTTATTGTTATTGTTTTAAAAATTAAAATAAAACTTTTTGACTTTCATGTGTACTCAAGAGGGTTAAAAAATCATATCTTTTAAAATAAATGACGTAAGACCAAAATCCAAAAAAGCACGAAGCGCTAAGACGTAAGGCTCTATGATGACCTTAAAATAAATTATACAGGGTGACCCATTTACCTCCTGCACATTAATAAATTTGATGTTAAAATCATAGCTTTACAAATCACCCTGTAAAATTATTTTAAATCAGGACAAATGAATGCAGTCGTGCACACTTACTGCTAAAGAAATGCCCTTACTAACAAAAAATAATTAACAAGATACGTCCATCCATTCAAAAGTTACAACCTATCAAATTGGGATATTTTTTTTGGCGAACCACTTAAAAAACGATCAGTGTAGATATTATCTAAATCAATAAATAAAATTTAAAAAACCTGTTTCGAGGGTTTGAAGGGTTAACCAAAACAGGACAATTTTCAACTCACCTCGATCATACCTTGTACGATAGGTTTCTTAATTCTCTAAATAATTCACTCCTGCTGGGGTAGATCGAGGTGAGTTAAAAAGTGAGCTGTTTTGGTTCCCCTTCAAACCCTCATAATGGAGTTTTTAAATTACACAGCTCTATAAAAAAAAATTTTTTTTTGTTGCCCTGGATATCATCGCAAATTTTTATGTTTTCAAGTGCCCAGATTACGAATATATTCATAAAAGTTCTCAATGTGCTCGTATTTTCATGATTTTTCAATATCTTATATTTTGAAAAATTATCGGCTAGTTAGAAATAAAATTTAATTTTCCAGTCATGATTAGGCTTCTGCGCAACTTTTTCGCGCATACAAACATCACGTGATTCCCACTCTCAGACCCCTTGCTCCACAGAACAGCTGAGATCTCAATTATTTAATAATATTCTATAATGGACAAATTAGGTAAACCATGGGTTCCTAATAAAGTTTGTAAGTCCTGTATTGAGTCTTTACGGTTGTGGAAAAAAAGAGAACGTTCTGGATTAGACTTTGGTATTCCTATGATCTGAATGGAGCCTACGAATCATTTAGATGATTGTTACTTTTGTGTAGTAGATGTTAAAGTTTTTAATCGAAATCAAACGTGGAGATACCCAGACTTACAGTCTACGAAATGTCCGGTTCCACACAGTAAAAATCTTCCTCGGCCTATATACGTTTCAAAAGTCATTCGCATGCCCTCAGAAACAATGATGTTGCCAAATTCACAGAAATCGGGACCGTCTACCAGTGGAAGTGAATGGGAGGGTGAAACATCTACGCCAAAGTTATTTTCTCAAAATGAACTCAGTGATTTAATACGTGATCTCAATTTATCAAAACAAGGATCAGAACTGTTAGCCTCAAGATTGAAAGAAAAAAATTTATTGGCACCAACAGTAACAATTACAACATAAAGAACGCGAGAAAAAGAGTTATTACAATTTTTTTGTGAAAATGAAGGATTGGTGTATTGTAATGATATCGCGAAGCTGCTTCTATACATGGGTTTAAAAGAATACAAATCTACTGAATGGCGCCTTTTTATTGACAGTTGTAAAAGAAGTTTAAAATGCGTTTTGTTGCACAATGGAAATAAATTTGCATCAATTCCAATTGCCCATTCAACGAAACTCAAAGAAGAATATGAAAATGTAAAATTAGTTTTAGAAAAAATTAAATACTCGGAGCATCAATGGCCGATCTGTGTGGATTTAAAAATGGTTAATTTTTTACTTGTCCAACAAAGTAGATATACAAAATACCCTTGCTTTATTTGTATGTGGGACAGTAGAGGAAGGCAACTTCATTGGGAACAAGATGTTTGGCCTGTAAGAAATTCTTTAACTGTCGGTAAAGCCAATGTAATAAGGGAGCCGCTGGTGAGCCGAGACAACATCATACTTTCACCATTACATATTAAGTTAGGTATGATAAAGCAATTTGTAAAAGCGTTGGACAAGGACGGAAATTGTTTTAATTACATTTGCAGAAAATTTCCGAAGCTTAGTATGGAAAAATTTAAATGTGGAATATTTGATGGTCCTCAAATACGGCAACTGATAAAAGACTCAGATTTTATCAAAGTTATGACTGTTCCGGAAAGTAAAGCTTGGAAAATTTTGTGTTGGTTGTCGAAAATTTCCTAGGTAACCATTAAGCAGCAAATTATGAAGAAATTGTGCAAAATATGCTTACAAACTTTCAGACTTTAGGAGCAAATATGAGTATTAAGTTACACTATCTCCGCAATCATCTAGATAAATTTCCGGATAATTTAGGAAATTATAGTGAGGAACAGGGTGAGCGGTTCCACCAAGACCTAAAGTTAAGGAGGAAAGGTATCAGGGTCGATGGGATTGTCACATAATGGCAGATAACTGCTGGTCTTTGAAAAGAGATTGTCCCTTAAAAAATTATAAAAGAAAAGCTCATAAAAGGCGTTTTATGGAAATATAAAAAATATTTTCGACATTTTCCTCTTATTTACTTTGATGTATCCTAATTTCTCAAAACATAACTGACATTATAAATATATCTGTTATTTTGTTTCTTGTTTTCCGATTTTTGTAATGTAAAATGAAAATAAAGATTTAAAAAAAAATCAGAGCAAATCTTACAAAATCATTGATAGTTTCATGAATTGTGTACATAAATAGACCCAAAATCATTTTCATATCTAGGGCAACAAAACCACTGTAGACCAGTGTTATATTTATGGATTATCCTTTTAAAGATATAGACCATTAACAGTTTTAGGTGGGACACTGTATATATTAGTGACTCTTTTTGCTGCGTCAATTAAGCAAAGCATATAAAGACGCTTTTCAGACGAAATTTATACAGTCAAGGAACAATTTAATTTGTTAAAAATGTTAAATGTAAATTTAAAAAATTTAATATGTTTTGCTATTTGGCAGGTTACAAACCAATTGAAAATAATATGTATTATAAGCTTGATTTAACTACACTAAGAACTGCTGTCCTTTTGGATACTATGTCAGAGAATAATGACGATAAGGGAAATGGTGTATAGTTTGGCAACTAGTTGGAAGTTAAATCCTTGTCCGCTTACAAAGACAAGTATTGATATTAAACATGTTTGTGTATCTCGGCGACAGATAATGAAATAGTTCCTTGTAATAGTCATTCATGGCCTTTAGTAGCGAGGATTTATCACCATTAAAAGCAAAAGTTTTAAATGTGCCAGAAAATAGGATATAGATTACATTGTAAAACAATAGTAAGTATTATGTGTTGACAAAAATTAGTTTTTCTACTACCTTACTAGAAAACTTAATTTTCCAC